AAAAACAAAAACTAATTTGGGGGGGGGGGGGTTCACTTAATGGAAGTAAAACAGGTTGTGTATGTTGACTTTAACAATACAGGACTTCATCCAAAGAAGATATTTTGAAGAATGTTGGTAACCAATTGCTGGTAGCCAATGACTTCCACAGTATTTTTTCCATACTGTGGAAGTCGACGGCTCCCGGCAACTGTATGGTTACCAACATTCTTCAAAATATTTTCTTTTTTGTTCAACAGAAGAAAGAAACTTATTTCACCCAAAAATGAAAATTCTATCATTAACTCACCGACCACCTGTTCCAAACCTGTACGAATTTCTTTCTTTGTTGATAGTAATGTTGGTAACCAAAGAGTTGACGGTTGACTTCCATAGTATGGAAAAAAAAAATACTTTGGAAGTCAATAGCTACAGGTAACAGCTTGGTTACCTACATTCTTAAAAAATATCTTCTTTTGTGTTCAACAGAAGAAAGAAACTCGTACATGTTTGGAACAAGTGACAGCTATTTTTGCATGAACTATCCCTTTAACATGTTTCACCATGTTTAAATCCATTTAGCAGATTTTGTCCTAGATACATCGAATAAAAAGCACAAATTAAGTGCACAGGTATGCAGAGAACCACATGCACTGATTCACAACATATGTCTCCTCATATCTCCCCTGTGAACTTTAAAAACACAGGAATGGAGTCATATCTAAACAGCGTAAATGCTTGGGAAGCATTAAATTCCTCTGACATCTGCCGAGCAGAGGCAGTATTCCCGGAAGCCCCGAGTGTAGCGCTGAGGTGATCCACACCCGGTGAGCTCATTCTGACATGTTTGTGTGCAGGCATGGATTAACCCCATAACTAATCTATAATGCACAACTGCGGTGGTGAGAGCACAGGCATTAGAAACAAACCAAAACCTTGTAGGATAACGGCCCAACACTAGTAATCTGTGAAATATTCAGATATATACAATTATAAAAGTAGTTTAAACATGTAGGGAGACAAGCTAATCAGTGGCATAATTTTACAGCAAAACATTTGAATGAAAAAGTGAAGAAAAAATGGTACAAAAAATACACTACTGTTTCACAAGTTTGGGGTTAGTAAAATGTAATGAATAGATGTAATAAATTGATCAAAAGTGACTTTTACAACGTTATAAAAATCTATTAAAAAAGCAGTTCTTAGAAACTTTCTATTCATCAAAGCACAACTATTTTCAACATTATCATTATTATTATCATCATTATTAAATCAGCATATTAGAGTATTTCTGAGGAAACGTGACACTAAAGACTGGAGTAAGGATGCTGAAAATTCAGATTTAGCATCACAGGAAGAAATTACATTTTAAAATATAATCAAATCGAAAACAGTTCTTTTAAATTGTAATAATATTTCACAATATTACTGTTTTTACTGTATTTAAAATAAATAAATAAATGCAGCTTTGGTGAGAATAACCAATAACCAGACTTGTTTAAAAAAAATCTTACGACCCTTTTGAACTGTATATATTTTATGAATTCATTTTATTAATTAATGGTCAAGAAAACTTTATTTCTTTATTTCTAAAACTTAGAAAATATATAAATACATGAAATTAAAATTTATCAGTCTTTTGAAATGGTACAAGCTGACAAATTTGTTTCCGTTACACCCTGTTTAATTGCGATTCTATCCAAAGATTCAGTCTGGGTCTGCTCATGACTGCAGTCCCACGCACGCACGCACGCACGCACGCACACAAGCAGAGTGTTTCCAGTCTGACCGTATAAGGAAGGCACATCCTGCTGGTTGCCATGGTGATTAAGGGAGCTAAAGACAGACAGAGTGCTGCACCTTGCTGATGTGAAGCTGCTGCTGCTGGAACTGTTGCTTGTGTTTTTCCAGGAACTGCTGGTGTTGCTGTTGAACCACCAGCTGCTGCAGCGCCTGGGCATTCTGGGGCAGGGGGGCCGACTGCGTGCGTCCGAGGGGCCGATGCTGCCGGAGCTTGTGGATGGAATGCGACTGCAGGGACACGCCCCCCAGGCCTGGGGACACAACACATGGACTTTGGGTTACACAGCAGATTCTAGTTAGCACTCAGCCCCGAACTAATTAACACCTCACCTGCTTTGGCTCTCGGGGGGTTAAGTTACCTGAACACACAGCTGAAGATTTTAAGCACATCTCTGCCTCATGCCCACGGATGACTCATGAAGCATCTAATGCACAATGTACATAAAACTGACAAAATCCTTCTCAAAAAGTGACAGAGTGCAAACAGAGCACTGATCTTGAGAGTTACCATTTCAAACTTAACATGCTGTCCTAAATACGTAACTAATGGTGCAAAATGTGTAAAAGAAACCGCAAAAGATGTGGCCAAAAATGTATATATATATATATATTCAATTCAATATAAAATACAGATAAAAAATAAAATAAAATTCTACAAAATTAGTTAAACATGTATAAAAATATGTTAAACGTGATATATAGTAAAAAATATAAACTGTATATATAAATGTGAACATAATATATTAATATAAATATATAATATATATTCATTAATTTTATAGAAAATATAGATAACATTATGATACATAAAAATAGCAATTTAATTTAATTATATTCTATAAAATGACTAAAACATGTATGTATATAAATACATAAATAATTTTAGATTTTATTGTGATTTTATAGAATTATAAAAAATAAACTAATCATATTCATTTATAATTATGATAAAAACTATGTAAACTATGAAATACATATTATATTATAACTTTATATAACGATATAAAATAAAATGATATAAAATTATTAAAACATGTATATAAAAACATTTCAATATATACAACAAAAACAAAAACTATGTAGCTTGTAATTGCTAGACACTGTTCATTGCTGATCATATAAACACTGAAAAAGCACAGCTATGTAGGAAATTGTTTGCCTTGGACAACAATCAATTATACTGTGCAGAATAATTATACAAAAAATATGTTGACCCCGGAATGCCACAATCGACCAATCAGAATCCAGCAGACAGCAGTGTTATGAAGACCACAGAGTAGCCCAGTATCTGACCATTATGAATTGAAACATGCATCTCCAGTACACTAAATGATGGATCGCCAAAAGAAAAGCTGCAGTTTTCAGTCAGAAAACGTTATTATTTATTGATTTATTTATTTTGCATTATTGCGCCACTCTGCTCCAGACACACTCTCCATCACTACTCCTCCCAGGGGCTTGACACTTCCTGTTTGTACACTTCCTGTGGATTCGCTAGTCTCCCTGACAACAGTGGGCGGAGAAGAGGCTTCCTCTTTAACGTGATGGTCTATGATGGCACAAATCATTAGTCACAATTGACTGCGCCAGCGAGGCGTCTCTCTCTCTCTCATCCTCAGGATAAGTATTGACCTCTTCTTATTGGCAGCCTCTCTCTCCCGTCTCTCGTGAAGCTGATCCTGGCACATCAGGAGGCTAATTAACACCGCCTATGACTAATTTGATTAAAATGAGCCTTCTTTAGTGCGTATCGGAGGAAATTGAATCCAATTTATAAAGGGCGCTGCATAACCTATGCTGGACTACAAAATGTGTAAAATAAACCGCAAAAGATGTGGCCAAAAATGTATATATATATATATATTCAATTCAATATAAAATACAGATAAAAAATAAAATAAAATTCTACAAAATTAGTTAAACATGTATAAAAATATGTTAAACGTGATATATAGTAAAAAATATAAACTGTATATATAAATGTGAACATAATATATTAATATAAATATATAATATATATTCATTAATTTTATAGAAAATATAGATAACATTATGATACATAAAAATAGCAATTTAATTTAATTATATTCTATAAAATGACTAAAACATGTATGTATATAAATACATAAATAATTTTAGATTTTATTGTGATTTTATAGAATTATAAAAAATAAACTAATCATATTCATTTATAATTATGATAAAAACTATGTAAACTATGAAATACATATTATATTATAACTTTATATAACGATATAAAATAAAATGATATAAAATTATTAAAACATGTATATAAAAACATTTCAATATATACAACAAAAACAAAAACTATGTAGCTTGTAATTGCTAGACACTGTTCATTGCTGATCATATAAACACTGAAAAAGCACAGCTATGTAGGAAATTGTTTGCCTTGGACAACAATCAATTATACTGTGCAGAATAATTATACAAAAAATATGTTGACCCCGGAATGCCACAATCGACCAATCAGAATCCAGCAGACAGCAGTGTTATGAAGACCACAGAGTAGCCCAGTATCTGACCATTATGAATTGAAACATGCATCTCCAGTACACTAAATGATGGATCGCCAAAAGAAAAGCTGCAGTTTTCAGTCAGAAAACGTTATTATTTATTGATTTATTTATTTTGCATTATTGCGCCACTCTGCTCCAGACACACTCTCCATCACTACTCCTCCCAGGGGCTTGACACTTCCTGTTTGTACACTTCCTGTGGATTCGCTAGTCTCCCTGACAACAGTGGGCGGAGAAGAGGCTTCCTCTTTAACGTGATGGTCTATGATGGCACAAATCATTAGTCACAATTGACTGCGCCAGCGAGGCGTCTCTCTCTCTCTCATCCTCAGGATAAGTATTGACCTCTTCTTATTGGCAGCCTCTCTCTCCCGTCTCTCGTGAAGCTGATCCTGGCACATCAGGAGGCTAATTAACACCGCCTATGACTAATTTGATTAAAATGAGCCTTCTTTAGTGCGTATCGGAGGAAATTGAATCCAATTTATAAAGGGCGCTGCATAACCTATGCTGGACTAATTATAACCAATAAATGCATGACATCTGCGGGGAGAGCGGAACGCGATGCATTATGATCCTGCGAGGCCCCGGGGCACCTGGCTGTTACGAGGCCCCCCTTTGGTGCAATTTTGAAATGTAATGTGCAAATAATGGGAAATTATATCACAGAAATGAGAAATATTTGTGTATTATGAGAATTAACAAACCATGTGAATAATACATTTAAGCAATACAACAGTTGCAAAGATTAGACATGAATTATGAAAATGAAACATTGAAAGAGGGAGCAGTGGGGTAAAGTGCGTCAGATGCTTCAGGGTAAGCTGTGCTGTGGTGAATGACTGAAACATTTCAAGCAGGGGCCAATTTTCCTTCCATTCAAAGGACATGAGGAATTATACAATAAGTCTGGAGAACTGCAACATTTTATGTTTCCTTATAACCTAAAACAACAGCTAAAATGCACAATTATTATATTTACATTTATGCATTTAGCAGACTTAGTATATAAAATTTTACATGTCTGGTTTAATGATATCTTTAAGAAAATGTGAATAATAAAATAAAACTTTGAAACATAACAGTACATTCTTATATTGTATATAAAAAAAAGATCGTAATGTACAAATTTTGAATAATATCTAGTAAAACACGATTTTGAAATCATAATAGTCCATTGTATTTTTTTTATTGTATTTACATTGTATTTTTCATTTAATACAATGCAATATAATACAATATAAAGCATAAATAATAAAAAATAATTAAAAAATGTAATAAAAGAACAAAATCTAAATTAATTATCTAAATCGTAATTAATATTACTCTTTGCAGACATAGTTTACAGATATGTTTATGAATAATGGTTAGTAAAATAAAACTAATAATAATGCATTGTAATATATATATATACAAAATTTTGATTTATTTTAAATTTGGATTATGTTTGGTTTACGGATGCCATTAAGAAAATGTGGGGGAAAAAAGTACAACAAAGCTTACTAGTTATAGAAAAAGTGCATTTTTGTATTTAACAAATATAATATAATATATATTTAATTAAATAATAATACAATAACAATCTAAGTATTTTTTGGTATTTTATGTTAAACAAAATTGTTCTCGTATTCCCCAATGATTTAAATTTTGTCTTGACATGACACAGATTACACATTTATTTTTCATTTCTAAATGTAAAATTGAATTCAAACTTCTATGGATAGATGTTATAGACATTCTCTTCTCACTTTCTGTCTTACGAGAGGACAACTTCAATAAAAACGTCTCTGCAGGTTAAGGTGTCTCGGTAACATCAATATTGGTTATTATGACTGCGACTGACCTGCGACCAGGGAGTTCTGCGCGGCCGACTGCTCCAGAAGCACCATATGCTGCAGGAGAGTGTTGTGTGCCGAGCCGCCCTCCTGCTCTAAGGTGGACGCGGCCAGGTAAGAAGGCAGGTGGGCTCCTGGCATGAACGGAGTGGTTATGGGTATTCCTGGCTGCAAGCCTGGCACTGCCATTCTGTCACCATCCTGTAGGCCAGACGCCACCTATGTGAACAGAGAATGAAAGAGCATAATTCCAAAAGAATCTAGGGCAAAGAAGAGAGAACATTCCCTCGTAAATTATGTTTCGCTTGCGTCAGAGACCCGCGGTCAGTTATTGTCTCTCAAAAGGCTCTTTCTGAAACACCACTGGTGCTGAAAGCCACATGTGGCCCCCTGACGGTCCAGACAGGCCTCTCTATGACGAAGAGAAAGAAAGATGGACTCACGCTGGAGGGGCCGGTGGCTGGCAGGCCCAGGGTGATGTTGGGAAGGGAGGGCGATGTGTACAGAGACAGCTGGCTAACAGGACCCTCTCTGCCCGTGAGTCTGTGCGCCAAAGATGGCTGGAACGACACACACACACACACACACCAACATATGCACAGATAAATAAACCCCACCGATAAAAACAAACAGCTCTGTCTGGTCGCTCTCCGGACCCCTGCGGGACCCGTCTACAGAAGGAGACTGTCCGCGGCTTAAAAACATGCATGGAAACGGCCAGGAAAATCGCAGAACACTTCCTAAAGCAACAAGCGACAAGTGTGGCCACCAATAAAACTGAGCTATAACTACTAAAACGTGTCCTAAAGATGAAGCATTCAAAGAGATCTAGAGGTCCATTTAAGAAAACACCAATAAGCTTCATCAATGCGCTGCAGTGATTTTATCATGCTTAATAGGTTTTCTTAGGCACAGTGAAGCAAAGAGCCTAATTAAAAACCATTAAAACGTGCGTTTATTAAATGGTGTCAAAAGTTATATTACTGAAGACACAGGTGTTTAATAAATAATACATTTTATTGTTAATAATAGTCATAATAAATCCGTTTTAAGCCAACCAGTGTAGTTAATCATTAATCTAACTCTAGATTGTGAAGCTTCTTTGCAACTTCCCCCATTCATTTGTATGCAGTGTTGGAGGTAAAGCATTACAAGTAACGCAAGTTACGTAATCAGATTACTTTTTTTTCAAGTAACTAGTGAAGTAATGCATTACTTTTAAATTGACAAGAAAATATCTGACTTACTTTTTCAAGTAAGTAATGAAAGTTTTCCCATTTATTCACTGATACCTTTCCTGTCCCCATGTTAAAAGAAATCAGGAGTGAGGTGCAAAGGCCAAAAATATTACTTTTGGGTGTTTTGTTATTAAATATAAATAAGCAAGCCAGGCTCAAGAGACAAAAAGTAATGAACAAGTAAATTAATGCATTACTTTCCATAAAAAGTAACAAAGTAAAGCAATTAGTTACTTTTATATGGAGTAATGCAATATTGTAATACATTACTTTCAAAAGTAACTTTCCTCGACACTGTATGTTTGAAATAGTTTTATTATAATTCATTATACATATTATACATATTTATTATTAAATATTAGATATTTTATATTAATGCACAATATTAAAATACAGAAGTAATACATAAATACATATATTTAGACAAATATTAAAATAAAAACAATTAATTCAATGTATTATAATATATTATAATTTAATATAGGCATATTACACATATCACATATTATAATTTGATATAATGTAAGGATGATTTTGCATGTCTTATAATTTTGAAAAATGATTTGTGAATAATGTTTCAGTTTATGCCCCAAATAAAAAAAGTTTTTTTAAAAAAGTACTATTAATCAAATCTAAACATTCAATTCACTGGATCATCCAAAATTAGGCATGACCACATAAAACATACTCATTCTCATTTGAGAATTATAATAAATACCAGGGATATCAAAACTGATCTTAAGCAGCTGCGGTCACAGATTCATATGCAGTGCACTGTACCTCCGCTGGACTGCTGGAGATTGATCCAGCGATGCCGTTCTCATTGGTAATGTTGTTTGAACTGTTGTTGGGTGAACTCGGACCAGAACCAGGAGCACTGCTGCATGCCGATTCTGAGTGAAAATGGACTTGATTAGTTCGGTGTCAGTCAAGAATGAACAGATGTTGGAGTCATGGCCTAGCAGTGTATGCAGGAGATTCTGCCAATAATGTTTGACATTTTCTATTTTCCCTATGAATAAAATGTGAACAATCCTCTCACCTGCCATGTCCAGAGAGCGCTTCTTTGCAGTGGTGATCGGCCCATCCTTCCTCCGAAGCAGCGGGCTACTCCTGCGCTCCGTAACTTTCTGCTTCAGCCTGGATCGCAGCTTCAGGTTGGGCTCAGATGCTGATGAGAGATGGAACAGGAAATATAGTTAATATTGCAACACCGTTTTCAAATAACAGGATGTGTGTAGGATAGAGTTGTGTGACACTAAAACCAAATAGACTACATTCACACTTAGGCTTTGCTCCAAAACCACCTTGCTGTCTACCTCCTACTTAGGCAGCTGCCTTTTAAGACAGCATCCTAAATAGAGTATAACTTTATGCACATTGAACATAGACAGGGACTGTGTGTGTCATGCAAATAGTGAGCTAATAAGCATAAAATATATTGCACATAAAAATACTAGGTAAAATAATAAAAGCTTAATTAGAATAATATATTTAAAAAATACGTATCACTCTGGAGTGTGTTATGAATTATATTTAACTTGAAAAATAAAAATGAATATATAATTACAAATATATACACACAGAAAAATAAATATAAACAATCAAATAATAAAATAAATAAATATATAAAAATAAACAATATCCAAAGAAATGCATATAAATAAAAATAAAAACACAAATAAACACATAAAATAATTAAGAAATAAATATTATATAAAGAAAATAAATATAGTAAAATAAATAAATACAGAAATGTAAAGAAATATATTAAAAATAAAATAAAAAACAGATATTATTAAAAAAGAGAAAGAAAGAAATACATTAAAAATGAACATGTATACATATAATCAATACATTATTTATACACATTAAAATCCATCTGAAACAAATCCTGATTCTCTACTGAAAATGATTTCTGGTCTGATATGATTTTTGACTGATTCAGCAGAATACAACTGTTAAATAACCAAGACGTTTGACACTAGCTTGACCTGTCCCAAGCAACTAATTAATCCTTATAAAAGAGGCTAGTTCAGGTCACTCATTATGCTTGTGAGTCCAGATTCCAGTTAAGAAACAATGGAGCAAACCAGCATCTGAACAGCTTCCAGCTTGGCACAGCAACTTGCCCAAAAGTTTAATCAAGTCCATCTAAGTGTAAACAAATGAATACCCTCGGTCGAGAGGGCTTTCAGTTAAACAGTTTGCAAACACAAGCTCTTGGAGTGTGACGTAGAGTGTCAGAACAGGCCTGCCACTGAGGCGGCGCATAGGCCTGGCCAGCAATTACCAAAACGAAAGTTGCCCGTGAGGGTCACGCCTGTTTGAAGCTGTCATCCAGGCACGGACGTTTCGCCCATTAGCCACTGCTGACATTTTCACCTGCTCACATACTCCAACAAAGGCTTCTCAATCCCTCTCTTGCCCCAATTGTGCTCTAACGCTTAATCCTTGCCTCGTTTGTGACCCCGTGTCAAAACATGCACGTCCCAGTGAGAAGTGCATGCAAAGTTCATTAGAGGGAAAGCAGGCCTGGCCACTGTAAAGTGCACTTAACAGTCATTTGGAACGGAACCTCATGCACCTTTTGCCATCTGCAGACATTAACATGAATAAACTGGTCAAAGTGCTCAAATCATACAAACAGTGATGAGGGACATGTGTTTCCTCTCCCCAGTCATGCGTCTGTCTTTAAGAAGCAGTAAAACAATTTAGCATATAGTTTAAAAAAAAGTTATTTACTTAGCCTATTTTTTTCTTTTTTAAGCAGAAACCTTACTCTTTTTTTGTTGTTAGAAAAGATTCATGCTTAAAACAGGAGAGAAAAAAACAGGATATGAAAATGTAAACTATCGTTTATTAATACAATAGTTAAAATAAATTATAGTAAGCTTGTATGTTAACAGTAGTTTCAGCAAGAGGGTATATAATAGTACATACATTTTTTCAGGTGATACATTTTTTTGATTAGTAAGTTTAGCATTTATTTCAAATGTAATAATTACTAGTTACATAATAATTAGTAATTAATAAGAGTAAATAATTATATAAATTTATCAATTACTGTCAGTACATTAACATTAACCAACATTAAATTCCATACAAAATAATAATAATAATAATAATAATAATAATACATCTGAAACAAATTTATCGTGTTTTAAAAATACAGACTAAGGTTTATTAACTAAACTATTATTTATTTATTTATTTATTGTAGTATGAGATACTGCATTGAAGTTAATAGTGGACAAGTGCAATGTTTAGTACATTAACATTAACCAACATTAAATTCCATACAAAATAATAATAATAATAATAATAATAATAATAATAATAATAATAATAATAATAATAATAATAATAATAATAATAATAATAATAATAATAATAATAATAATAATAATAATAATAATAATAATAATAATAATAATAATACATCTGAAACAAATTTATCGTGTTTTAAAAATACAGACTAAGGTTTATTATTACTATTATTTATTTATTTATTTATTGTAGTATGAGATACTGCTTTGAAGTTAATAGTGGACAAGTGCAATGTTTCTGAAACAACTGAATATATACTAAATTAAAAGATCAAACATCTGCATTGCATCACAGCATCATTGCATTGCATCACAACTCAAACATCTGCATTGCATCAGAGCACAGAAATAAACATCAGACTGAATGCTCACATTACAACAATAAAGTGACTAATACAGAGCACTAACATGACATTCTGCCAATTCATAAAACACATATAACTAAATACCTAAATACAGTGAACCAAATTCAAAAGTAAGTCAAACTCAATTTAAATGAGATTTGTAGTTTTATGGAAAGTAGTGTTAAAATCAAAAGCAACCATAATAAAAGAACAAAAAATGAACATCGATTGACTTATGGACACGTAAACCAAACAGATATATTAGGTATGATTGTAAAATTTATCTAGCATTAGTATAAAGCAAATGATAGTAAGTATGGTGTGGTCTTCTGGTCACACACTAGTCACACACATATTCTGCATATTCTGGTGTTAAATACTGGGAAAAACATATTTGTTACCTCCTATGGTTTCTAATGAGTCATAACACGTTGACATTGATGGGTTCAAATTAGGGCTGTGCGATATCGAACAAAAATGCGATATGCGATACCTTGCTAAAAAATGCGATCTTCGATATGCGATATGATATTGCTTAAAGTGTGTAAAATCAATTTAAATGATATTTTAAAATATTTAAAAATGAAAATTATATAACCAATATGTTTCACATTCTTTCTTGGAAAAGAAAGAATCACTACAACTAGGGATTCACCGATACCGATACTGGTATCGGGCCCGATACTGAGCTCCTGTACTCGTTAAAATGCACCGATACCAAACGCAGATACCACACAGCATGTGATAAGAGCCATATTCAGACAAAGAAACACCGACAACAGAACAACAGACAGCAGAATGGAGTTAAGGATGTCTACTACGAAGTATATGTATGCAATGAATATAATGTTAAACATTCAGTATTAACGCCTGTATAGCTGAGGTGTGCGAGCTGATAAACAAAGCACGCTGAGTGGATTGAGCGCGCGGCGGCGTAGATGCACGAGCTTGTCGAGTGAATGTATCTTTCTCACAGACATCACTGGAAAGTTTGTAGTTCGGTCGGATGTGTCAAAAACAAGTAAAACAATGCACAAGTTACTTAACGGTAGGGAGAGAGAGAGCGTGCGCGCGCGCAATTCTGTTGTGTGATCTTTGATGTTCACTCACTTAGCACACGCATAACAAGACGGGTACTATTGACATAATTCTGTGTGTATCTGTCTGTTCAAAAATAAGGAGATGCGAAAGACGAATCAACTCTGTGTTCACGCGCCATCTGAAACGCGTCTCTCTGTGTGTGCGCGTGCTTTGCACGTGTGCGGCAGAACTGAAGAGACGCTGTGCGAGATGCGGGTTGTGCGCACGCTTCAGGTGTGAGTCTGTCAGACAGCAAGACGTGACGGCAAAGAGATGTTTTCTGTTATTGCACTTAATTCTTTTTAACGTCAAGCAATTCTCTGCTATATGCGTCGAACTAAAACTTTGATCTTTTGCAACGTTTTGATTTAAGTAGCCTATTATTAAAATGATTCAGATATCGCACGCCCTTGCAATATGCATATTGCGATATATCGTGCAGCCCTAGTTCAAATTAATGTTCAAAGTAAAAACCTGCACCACTGGCTCTAATAGGTAGATGTTGAGGAAGCAAAGAATGGAAGCAAAGGTTCCATCACTTCTCCTCTCAAAAGAAAAGCCAATCTTGTGGTTATACTTATAAAACTAGATAGATATGAGGACGGCACTTCTTGTAAGTGGTAGGAACATTCCCAGACATCTATGTTAAAGAAAGCTGGGCATGCTGCCATTAATGCCTGCATTAGCAAGGGCAGAGGAACAAGGAACGGTAATAAAGACAGGCGTAAATTTAACATGAGCGCATGTGTCCATCTTAGGCCATCAGCCATTTAATAAAAAGTAGAAACAAAACTTTTACGATTACAAAACTTGTCGCTGCATGTGAGCAATTGAGCATCACCACAAAGCACATTTAACTGTAATGTGTTAAAATAAAATTTTTTACTGTACTAAATTAATAAAAATACCATAATATATTTGCAGATATTTAGAAAACACGCTAAGTTCACATACTTGTTTCTCTGAAAAACAATGCTTCTAGGGATGCACGATATTATCGGACCAATATCGGAATCGGCCGATAATGGCTTTAAATGTAAATATCGGCATCGGCCCGATATGAAAAATTATGCTGATATGTCTTGCCGATAAGAGGAATACATTACCTCACATGTGCTCAGATTAGATCACGTCAACAGTGCTATTAGATCATGTCAGCATTGTGGCTCATTCTTGAAGCAAAGTTTTGCCTGAATGGTGATTGGATTTACTGTTTTGAATCGCTGCATTTAAACTGAGAATGCACGTACAGAATCACGCGTTCGGTGTATGATAGCGTAAACAGTAATAGCATGTGCAGCAGCGGCAGCCTCCCAGGGTCCTAATGCCCGCTCAGTAAGGAGTTTTAATTCCGTAGGGGGCGCTGTTGGCCTACTTCTAATAAAATGAAAGCAAAATACACAAATAATATTTAAATA